TTTGGATTAGTCTAATTTTTTTATATATATTCTTCTATGGTTACCTTTTTCTGTTTTGACTTTTGAACCGAAAAGAATTGTAAGAAAAAGACACGTGTCAGATTGTATTTCTCGGCCTTACAATGTTGCTACTTGCTAGCCCTGGCTATATAGTAAGCAATCAGATCAGATAGACCTAGCTAGGTTAGTTAACGTCCAAAACTCTCTCTTGATCGGATTGTTTTGGCAAATTAAAATTTACGAAAAGGGCCAGATTAAATTGATATATAGCCTATATATTAATTTATTTATTCTACAAGCGAGCCTGTATGAAACTTTGCTAAATAGAGGTGTTCGGATTGTTTTGAAGTTTCGTTTTAATGGAATTTCGATCACGGTTTTGCACAATGTTGTTCATTCACTCTTTTATGGAGTTTGCTCGATGTGTTCGGATTGTTTTGAAGTTTCGTTTTAATGGAATTTCGATCACGGTTTTGCACAATGTTGTTCATTCACTCTTTTATGGAGTTTGCTCGATTCTGGGAAGTTTTGACAGTGCGTCAACGGCTTGTTCTAGCGGTGATAGTGGTCGTTCCGTGATCTAGGGGCCTCAATGCAATTTTTATTATTTTTTGAGATGTTCTGTACTTCCGCCGAGCTTTTATAATATATTTGAATTCTTAAAAAGAATACCCGCAAAAGAAAGAATTCCTAAAAAGAAGAAAAAATAAATAAGTAACCACCGCAATCAACATACCCAGATATACTCTGTCGCAGCTAGCTAGCCTAATTAGCTTTGTTTATATACTATGTGTCAAGGAACATTGCCCGTACGCTTGAAATGGTTGACGCACTGACATCACATAAAATCATCGGTACGCGTGGTTGCATAGGTTCGTGCACCGCCACCTCCGGCCTCCCTGCGGCCGCACGTGTACGCATGTCATGAAAATATGAACATACATAGCTTAAAACTTGGCTAGGTTTTCATTAAGTTTTGGACGGAAAGGACTCGTAAGGAAAAGACACGTGTTGCAATACTTGCTAGCCCTGGCTATATAGTAAGCAATCAGATAGACCTAGCTAGTTAGTTAACGTCTAAAACTCTCTTGATCGTTCATAGTGGCGAATTATTGCACTGGAAGCGAGGAACCGGAACAGTGGTGGTACGTACTAATGTACACCGTCCGTTTCTAAAGTGGTAACCATCATAGTGATCGCGCGGGAACCCTACATTATTCCTAGTACTAGTTTTGTACTGCGACGGACGGTTTGGATCGACCCAT